GGGTGGGCTGTAGGACCGTTAGAGTTAGTGACCCCCTGTGGGGGGCAGATGGTCCTTCAGTGGTGGCTGGAGCCATAGTCTGCATCCACCTGCTTTTCTGTAGTCAGGGCTCAGTACACCTGTCAAGAGAAGGCGTCTGTCTCCCTTCCTTGACGCTAACTGCAAGATTTGCCCCAAGTGTGGTCACACTGACTGCATTCAATAGTTTTCCCATTGCTGTGATCAAGTACTTGACAAACAACAACAACAACAACAAAACTCTTAGGGGATGGAGGGTCTTTTCTGGCTCGTGGTTTAGGGGTAGCCCATCGTGTCAGGGAAGACAGAAGCAGCTCTTCCATGTGGTGGCAGGTGCCTAAGGCTGCTCACTTACATTTGGACAGATTAGGAAACGGGACAGGAAACAGGGTAAGCCTATAATGACAAGTCCTGGGGCTGGAGAGATGGCTTAGTAGTTATGAATACTGGGTGCACTCCCAGAGGACCTGGATTCAATTCACAGGACCTACATGGCAGCTCATAACTGTCTCTAACTCCAGCTCCAGGGGGTCCAACACCCTCACACAGACATACATGCAGGCAACACACCAAGGCACATAAAATAAAAATAAGTAAATTATTAAATAAATAAACATTAAGTCTTGTCCTCAGTGACCCATTTCTACCAGCTAGGTTCTATCTCCTAAAGGTTCCACACCCTTCCAAAACAGTAGCACCTCCTAGGAATGAAATGTTCAAAACACCTGAGCCCTTGGGGGTCATCAACATCCAGACAATGAAAATGACATTACATGACTCTTTTTTATTTTATTTTATTTTATTTTATTTTATTTTATTTTATTTTATTTTATTTTATTTTATTTTATTTTACAATACCATTCAGTTCTACATATCAGCCATGGGTTCCCCTATTCTCTCCCCTCCCACCCCCTCCCCTTACCCCCAGCCCACCCCCCATTCCCACCTCCTCCAGGGCAAATCCTCCCCCGAGGACTGCGATCAACCTGGTAGACTCAGTCCAGGCAGGTCCAGTCCCTTCCTCCCAGACTGAGCCAAGTGTCCCTGCATAAGCTCCAGGTTTCAAACAGCCAACTCATGCAATGAGCACAGGACTTGGTCCCACTGCCTAGTTGCCTCCCAAACTGATCAAGCCAATCAATTGTCTCACCTATTCAGAGGGCCTGATCCAGCTGGGGGCCCCTCAGCCTTTGGTTCATAGTTCATGTGTTTCCATTCATTCGGCTATTTTTTTTCAATAATTGAGTATAACCGAAATTTATTATAAGCCACAGTCGTCCTAGGGACCTCCATGCTATATATATAGCCTCCATGGTTCTATGGGTTGTGGTCTGATTGTTCTTTATTTTATATCTACAATCCACTTATGAGTGAGTACATACCATGACTGTCTTTCTGGGTTTGGGTTACCTCACTCAAGATGATTTTTTCTAGTTCCATCCATTTGCCTGCAAATTTCATGCTTTCATTGTTTTTCTCTGCTGAGTAGTACTCCATTGTGTATATGTACCACATTTTTTTCATCCATTCTTCCATTGATGGGCATCTAGGTTGTTTCCAGGTTCTGGCTATTACAGAGAATTCACAAAACAAGAATCACAAATGGCTGAAAGACATTTAAGGAAATGCTCAACATCCTTAATCATCAGAGAAATGCAAATCAAAATGACTCTGAGATACCACCTTACACCTGTCAGAATGGCTACGATCAAAAACACCAATGACAGTCAATGTTGGAGAGGATGTGGAGCAAAGGGAACACTCCTCCACTGTTGGTGGGAATGCAGGCTTGTACAACCACTGTGGAAATCAGTATGGCGGTTTCTCAGAAAATTAGGAATCGAACTACCTCAAGACCCAGCCATCCCACTCTTGAGGATATACCCAAGGAATGCTGATTCATACCATAAAGATACATGCTCAACTATGTACATGACTCTTAAGGCTGGACCAGGAGAAGTCAGCCAGCATTTGCCTACCTCTGTCCGGATGCTGGAGTTCTCAGGACCCTAGGACTGCTGGGAATGTGTTGGTACTCCAGTGCAGCTACAGCCAGGCTGTCATCAGTGGGCAGCCACCTTGGTGGGTAGCCTAATGCCGCCCTCAGATAGCCACAGTGTCAGCCAATGTTGTAAGATATTGAGAGAGAGCATCTAAGTAAGAACACTTCAGCTGGACCCCCGGAATTTCTCAAACCAGAAACTCACGAGTGAAATCAAATATCTTTGGATGATTTATTGTAGAGTCACAGTAATCAGAATGTTCAAGACATTGTAGTTATCGCAAGCAGGCTATATGGCCTAAAAACATCTTTTAAATAAACTTTGCTGCCTTTCATTTTGTTTAAAGTGCCTTTAAAACACCTGGGAGCAGGGAGTCAGCTGTGACACAGCCAAAGGAAATACTTAAAACTGGTGGAAACACACACTAGAGACTGGAGTACAGCGGAAAATGGGGGGAAAATACTAGCTTTTCTGCCCATGTTTTGTTGGGTAGGTGTGCACCATCATACCCAGTTGATATGGTGCCAGGAATGGAACCCCTGGGCCTCGTGCATGGCAGGCAAGCATCCACCAACTGAGTTGCAGCCCAGTCTCCATGTGTATTCTTTCCATTTAATTTCCGTTCTAGCTCTGTAAGATAGGGTCAATGCACAGACAAGGAAACTGAAGAGTGCAGGTATTGAGAGGACTTTCCAGGCACACATAGCCAGGGCTGGATTGACACACTGGGATTGTAAATGATGAAGATTAAATCATCAAGTTTCTTGGAGTCAAAGAGTGCGGGACCCTTAAGGGATCACTGGGGTCAAAGCTGGAGTATGGCACCCAGAGAATAGTTTAAAATCCACATCCCCAGGTCCTAACCCTACTGCTTATACAGCTGGCTAGCAAGTCTCTAGAAATTTTTCAGCCACCTCCAGCTCTGGCTTCTGGTTTAGTCACAAGCTTCCCCATTGCAGGTGAGAACATGGTAGCCCCACAAGGGGCAGGGCTTTACTCAGTAGCGTAGAGCAGCGTCATGGGTGGGGTGCTGTGATGGGGAGTTTTCTGATGCTCAGGGAGGTGCTCGGCATACCTTGATTTGAAGACAGTCCACGGGGCCCATGGCAGTTTTGCAGTCCAGGTTCTTGGCCCACTTGGAGCTCCATTCTGCAGTAGACATATTCTGGGCTCAGGCTGGTGAGGGCTTGGCTGGTCTCTATGACAGTGACTACTACACTGACAAGTATGACCCAGGCGACTCCTAACATTCCAGGGGGGCGTGTGTGGACACCCGGCTGAGCAGAGCTGGCAAAGGCACCTCTTTCTTCTTGGAATTCCTAAGTCCACAGGTTCTTAGCATGTAAAACCCCACCCACAGGTGAATGCACAGGGAAGGAAGAAGGGAAGGAAGGACAGAAAAACATGGAGAAACAGACAGGGAGGAACTGCTTCTTTTAGGTGCATGTTTGAGTTGACTGTGAGGCAGGTCCCTTTGATGGTGGACTGCAAGGCTCCTCAGAGTGGATGTTAAGTTTGGCAGGATCGGAGCCTCCTAGTGGGCCAGCCATCCTAGGAGGCTCTCAGCTCACAGTCCTTGTGTGGCCACTGCTGAAAATGTGCATGAAAAATACGGATGGACTGTGATCATAGGACACTGAAGCTTGGGATACAAATTGAGGTTGTGAGGAAACCAATTTGGCTAGGACCTGGTTCTTGGATGGCTTTTTTCTTTTTTCTTTCTTTCTTT